TTTACTAGTAATGGACTTATGGAAAAAAGGAACAATCTTGTTGATAACGAAATTATTACTCATAAACGAGATGTAATAGGCATCAAAGACACTTAGCTTAACTACCGTTCTGAAAACAAGGATCCTTAAACATTGCTTTAAACTGTTAGAATATTTTCGATATGGAAGTCCAACAGTGTAATATTTCACTGCCAAAATCAATGCCCTGATAGGAATACCGAGTAATGCAAGCAATCCTGACAAGGAGATCATTGTACGTAGATAAAAGACATATTAAGTGGGGATTGGTTCTACCCGGGAGTTGCAACCTTATATAGAAGAGTTGGGCCTTTTCATGTGATAGTTCCCTTTGTTATCAGTGAGGAGTAGCGGATATAGAAGGGTTCATATGTTCGACTTGTGTAAATTGATCGTGGACATAAACTGTACAGGAATTGATGCACACTTAATGCAACTGTTACAACCTTAGTTGAACGGATACCTATTGCTTCAAAGACATTTTTACAAAACAAGATGACATTTGTTCGGGTAATTTTAAAATCGATAAAAAAATAGACATAGCAAGAGTTGAAACCGACGAAAAACAGATGTGAGTTTGTTGAAATACCAAAGATTTCACTGAGTGCTTAAAGTAGATTGAATAACAAATGTGGAAACACCCATTTATAGGCCATTATTCAAAGTCAAGCATGTTCAAGAATTGATATATATCAAACACTAGATTAGTTCTTGTTTCCATTGGAACCTCAATTTTCTGTTCACAGTCTATATTCCAGACTCAGTTATTCGCTTTTAGACCATTTATGTAATTACTGTCAGTTTCTACACTTATTTAGATCAATGATACGATATTGTTCAGTTATAATAATATATTGTTTAAACTGCTATACAAGAAACGAATCATTGTGTAGATCCAAAACCGGTTGAATATGTTACATGTTTTTATTTGGAGCTAAAAATAATATAAAATCTTTGAATTTTTTATATTTTCTGATTTGGTCAATTTAATCAATACGATTTGTAATGCTAATTATTATTCCAATGAAACTTAACAGAGAGTAATAATTCCATGAATACGTTCTGAGAACATATCTTGCATCCGATGAAAACTAGTTATGAATATCGGCTTTATTAATCATAATGGAAACAGCTTGTTTTTCTTGTTTTAAACAAGGATAAAAATTTTGCAATCAGTTTCACATATCTACCTTCTTAGTAAATATTTCAACAAATTCATACTTAAATAATTATAATGTATCATTTAAGAATTTAACTATTCTTGTAATGCCATAGAATTCCTTGTCATCTATGTGGTTAATATCTAGAGAAGACTTTGTTGGATCGCTTTCTTGTTTCTTGATTTTCAG